ATAATTGACGATCGTTTTCAGTGAGTTTTTACGTTTTGCGTTTATTTATGTTTACACGTATTACGTTTAAAAATTCAATTGCTCACCGATTGTATCTTTAACGCAAATTATTACTCAGGTACCTTAACAGGGCGATAATTATGGGTATAGTTGTTTTTTGTAAACCGCGTTTCGAGTATAACTCGTATCGAATATGGGCAATTTACTTGAGTACGCGGCGTTCTATAGCTATAAAATATATACACATAGCCAAAGTGAATTTACCGTTCCAAGTAAAAAAAAATAATACTGATACTGCTAATTCAGGAGGGAAGTTGGCCGAGAGGACATTATGTATAAAGTAACTTAATTCATATATTATGTACGCGACGATAAACAATTGCTATTTAAAAAACATTCTGAACACGGTATATACACACTATATATTATAGTGGCATTATTATAATCGTATTTTTTCCCGTGTTGTCAAGGTAACGCGACAAAAATCATGCGACCGGTTTTTCGGTCCATCTGTCAAGAACTCTACAAAGCAGATAAACATCAATGTGCCAACTAGATCGAAATTGCTACAAGAAAGTTACTGTTAAGTTTTGATCGGAATAAGATTTAACGGACACACACACAAAAAAACCACATCATAATCAAGCCAATACGTTTCTCGCTTCGCTGAGATTTTAAACGTCCACACATTACAAAAGCGATGTCGACTTTAAATTTAACCCGTAAATAATTTAAATGTGAAATGTCTTTTATATTGACGTCATTTATCAATAACGATTTCTCGTATTTACTTTGGTTTCATTCGCTGTCTATCGTATAATAATAATTATAATTTTATATTGTCAATATTTTCGTTGATGTTATGAACATTTTGAGATGTTTCCCACGTTGTTTAGATTTAAATAAAAAGTGTTTTACCCGTATATCGAACCGACGACGGAAAGTCAAAAGAATAAAATAATAGTCTTAAAAGTAATTTTTAAACTGGGGACAAGTATTATGAATATTAGTATTATAATATTAAGTATTATGAATAATAATATTTTAATACTTATGTCTTATTTTTGGTGATAAATTGTGTGATAATATTATGGGCAGTGGCGCCAAACTAATTTTTTGTACGTGTGGCAATAAACATTAATTTATAACCACCTACCTCTACACGGTATTAAACTTCGTGGGGGGGCATAGTCCCACTAATACCTTAAGTTTTAAAATATTATTTTCACAAATCATATTTTTTACCGAGTAATGTTTAAGTTTTTTTAAATTTTTATCATTTAATATTTGAATGCATAAATAGGTACTTTAATTTTCAATTAGCATAGAAATTATTTTTTATGATCATTAGAAACCGATATTGATAATCGACATAGACAGGAATATATTGGTTTTAAAGTGATGTTTATTTTATATTCTGAGCATAGCCGCCACACCTAATACAAAGGTTCGGTGCCACTGATCATGAAAACTCGAGTGATGAATGAAATCTATATAATTATATAGAACTGCAGTTATGTGCATATATGTTCATTTATAAACTGGTGTCCAAACGATTTATTAGAAATTACAGTGTTAGCATTATTCGGGGTGTTAGAAATACGTATAACGAAATCGGTGCCCAGTAATAGGTTATGACTATTTTTCAGATAAAATAGTTTAATACGCTTTTTTTGCACGTAGTTCGTTTGATCGAAAAATTACCAAGGCCAAAACAACAGCGACAACACGGCGAATAAACGGAGATGATTTATTGTAATATTTGGTTTCAAGTAATTTTACAAATAAAAACCGTTCAATTATTTACACGGTATATGCCACGTTAACGTTAATACGTATAAAAAGTACATTTTTAAAATAATTTTCAAAAAACAATCAAAACAGAATTGTTGAATTTCATTCAAAGGACTACATCCGAAGGTGACGAGGATGGGCATCCTACGAAGTAGTTGCTCCATGACCGAAATGTCAATAATTGTAAATTGTGTCTAGACCGATACGAGGGCGTGTGTAAGTGTATGTGTGGCACCAGTGACTTAATTACTCAGGGAAATGTAGGGGGGGATAGATCCTCCCCAGAACTTTTTTTTAAAAATAAATAAATAGGTAATATTGTTATATTATACAGGTCCTGCGCCCTGTAAAAGTATGATATTTTATAATAAAACTTTAATTTAAATATCATTGTTGAATGTTATTATCGCTGGTAAGTAATATAATTGATATTTCTATAGACACGATGATCACCCAAAGTCTAAAACCTAACCGACTATCTGTAGTTGAAATGTTAACGCAGTAACGAAGTAACAGTTTGAATGTAAACTTCTAATGTCGAAGGTGAATAAGCGTGATATTAAAAATAACCCCCGTTCTCCAGAACGAATTCCTAATTACGCCGCACGCCGTGTGTTATTTTATCATAATTTAAATTTTTTAGACTCGGGATGTATGATGGTTTTCTAAAATTTTACCGTAATTACATGAAAAACTTCGTTCCACCACTGGATTCGTCGTTGATTTAAAATCCGGGATTTCGTTCAAAGATTTCGGATAAACCGAAACCTCGGCGTCGGTTTATTGCAGACCATGACGAGATTTCGTGTTAACGCGCAGAATATTGACCTACGCTCGTTTTGAATATAATAGGTATAAAATAGAAAAAACTAGTTACATTTGCCCGAGGGTAAATTAGATTTCTAGGTTTTTATTTAACGAATATTTTATTATTTATATAATAATTATACGCTTGGACCCGATATACGTAGGTACCTACGCGTTTATTAAATTCGACCCGAAAAGTCGTTAAAAATGATTAGATACCTATACCATAACCTACCGTCTCTAATGTTCGGTTAGGTACGTGTTGCGAGCTGAACGTTTTCGCCGAAATTATAAAACCTAGAAAAAAAAATAGCGTCCATGCCAATTCGTGTACCACTCCGGGCGTCTTTCGGTTTTTAGAAACATATACATCGATTCGTTTCTCCGGGGTTTTCTGGCCGCCTCGTCCCATTATTAGATATTTAGATCGTTGTAATCACAATATCTAAATTATTAGTCCCCCCCTCCCTCTCTTCAATCTAAATAGGTATTTTTTCGTGACGTACCTATAATAAAATTTAATGGTGTTATAGACAAGCGGTTTGGCGCAACAATTATTTTACTAGCCGTTATACTGTATACACGAACACGACTCGCTTGCATAATTTTCGGTATCAGAAAATTGCGTCCGAATCCCGAAGTCAGGTACGAGTTGTGGCCCGGGTTTTGAGAAAAGCACATAAGAAACGCGGCCACGCAATAAAAAAATTACCTTTCATATCTTAGCATTATTACCCCGCCGCAGGAGACATGTTTTTTAATAATTTTCTTTTTTTTTAGACAATTACTCGAAATTTGTTTATTCCGTGCCTATTTTTTTTTTTACCAATTTCATTACGGTCGCGATCAGTGTTAATTAAAATTGTAATATTTGCAGGAGGTAATTGTAAAAAAAAAAAAATATTTATTAATCTTTCACACAGTAAAATCGTACATCGTCTATGAGTGTTTTATGAAAACGAAATTTATAGTGTCTGTACATAATGAGTGGCATCGATTTTTCACTATTAACAAATTCAATGATGGCCATGTGTATCAATAACGGACTGACAGTTTAATATTTTGCGTCCGAAGTGCCTATCGATATTTATCGGCATTTTTTATCGTCCGTCCAATTTTAGATTCGATATCTGTTTCGATGCGATATACTTATATAGATACGTATAATTACTAACATATACTATTATCACTATATAAGGTTACCGGGGTCGCAACTCACTCAAAACCAAAAGCATTCGCGTCCAAAAGGTTTATCGGGCCGGTTCCCGACATGTCGTAAATAACACGGCCATCTACAGCGCCGTATTTTTTTAAGCAAATCGATATTCAAATTATTCTATCGGCTGTTTTCATTGACACTGTTCGCAATGGGTTATGAGTCATAACTTATGGTTTTAAGTTGACGGTTCAGGTTTTCAGCGCGAGTTTATAGAAACGAATAAAATATGAAAGAAAAAAAAAAAAACATTACAACCGAATATTGTATAACGAAATGAATATTCAGTTTAAGGTGGCTCCCTGCATACGCGCGCCGAACACGTTATAATGTACGCAGAATATCGGCGGTGACCGGTGGGCTGCACCTATTATATACATCACTGACCTGGGATTCCGGTGTCGATTACAAAAAAAAAAAAAAACCTCAATTAATTACACGATTTACATAAATATGTAATTTAAATAAATATTAAATATGTAATTTTTTTTTTTGAAAGACAAGCCGTCCAATTATCGCCATTCAAATCGTTATCTCTCTCTCATCGGTACGACAAACGGTATAGCTAGGTGAACGGAAATTATAATACCTACTGTACCTGTACGTATAATAATAATTATTGGAGTCTTAACAAAACTGTCTGCAGTGACGAACAGGTGGGAAATCATTGTGCAGATGGTCGTGTACGAGTACGATATAATAATTTTAATGAATTGTTCGGATATTTTAATCACGTCAATTATCGCTGCAGTGCGATCCGGTTAGTACTTAGCTATTTTCGCGTGTTATTTATTCGCAGTTACGTCGACGACAAAAAAAAAAAAATCAACAAAACCGCAGGTTTTCGCAAAAGCGACGGTTATTAATAATTATACGGTAATTATTGGTTTATTATGTCGTTACGCGACGCATAAAGAAACGATTTTGTTTTTTCGAGGGATATAAAAGTACGTCGACAATAACCAGAGCTGGGAGCAATAACTATTCAGTGTTAACTATTATCGGTAAACTTTTATTGCTAACCATTCGTCGAATCGACGAGCGCAGTATAAAATGCATACACAAAATATTTAAAATATTAAAATTACTGCAAAATTATTATATTTTCGATTACGTTTAGTAAATGAGTAAATTTGCTGATTTTCGCTGTTCGTCTATTGCGTTGTACACCTAAACTCGGTTTATAGAACTTTCGACAATATAATCCGTGAGAATGTTCCGAATTTCGGATATAGAGCAAATTTCTGAACCGATAAATTCTATTTCCCCGTGGATCCTTAATGTCAAATTTTAAACGATTAATTACGACATTAAATTTACCAAAAATCCGAGGTTAACCGAATCGACTGTTTTTAAATGGTTATTTTCCGTCAACGGTTAGCCGAAATAAAACGTTGTATTTGATCGTTCGACATGCGTAACAATATTATGTACGAGGGATAGGCGGTAGGCATAGAAGAAGATTAGATAAAAATGGTAAAAATAACCACAGGACAATTACCCGCAGTGTTTGACGAATTGACTGGGGTTAATACATTCTAGGGCCCAAAAGTTAAAAGTTAAGTTATAGAAGTTTATTTATTATGTGTTTTTATTTTATAATCTTTAACTTATCTATAGTCAAAACAAAAAAGAATCTAACCTAACCTAACCTATTTCTTTCAATAAACAGTTTTGACTTGACTTAACTTTAACTATAATATAATTTTGTTGAGATTATTTCTAAAACTTTATTTACGATTTGGTTGAAAAAAATAATAATAACTTTAACATTTATCGGTTATTATTTTCTTGCCAATTCGCATGACTCAACTCGGTTTATTAAAATTGACTATTATAGAAATCAGTTTCAAAAAAAATTGGTCAACTTTGCTCGGCTTTGACAATCCCTCCCACTTCACCGATCGTGTTCCTACTCTAAACGGAAATAACAATCGCAGACGAGAGCGTCTCGAAAGCCGTTTTGCAAAGCAACAGAAAAACGAAAAACCGAAATAATAAAATGAAAACTCGAACATTACAATGACACTACGTGGTATTTTTTTTTTATATATATAACTTATATCTATAGGTATCTTTGTTTATTCGAATGAGTTGACGCGAGTGAATTTGACGCCTTTTTTTTAAAACTCTTTTATTGAATATTTTTTTATTTAATATTATGTTATTTTTCCGTGAAAAATGTCAACCGTGTGGCTTTTCGTTTTTATAGGTACACACAAGTCGGTTCAGTTTATCCCTGCAAATAAAGTTCATACAAACTTTCACCGACTTACACTGCGAGCGTGCTATCGATAGACACGTGTTTGTTGTCGGTGCGCAAAAATTGGTTATTATTATTATTATTATTATTCGTGTTTCGTATGTATTATTACATGCGTATTATCACTGTTTAGGGATCAAAATTCCAGAAAATTGCTTCGAACCAAAGAAAAAAAACAAGAAAAAAAAAACAGTTATCGGACAGTTTTTAAAGTATATACAACAAGTTATTCAAAAGTTAACAGAAAAACAACGTCCCGACGTAACAAAGAAGGACCGGCAGTTTCTACAATGAATAATAATTGCATTCGATTTTTTTTTTTTTTCGGAAATAAAATAAAACGTATCGTTTTTTTCGCGACTTTTCCCCGGAAAACTACGGTTTCTTTTCACTAGAGAAATCGCAATCCCTATAATTAAACTGAAACGGACACGAGTACTGAAAAAAAAAATAGGAGGGGGGGGGGAAATGCGGTAGCATAATGTTATGGGACGAACAGCGAACGACAAATCCTCTTTATAAATTCGCGGTTTCTATACGTTGTTATTTTTCTAACGGTCCACAGGTGTTAACGAAAATATACAGGGTCGTATACAGTGGCGTATAGTAAACCGGCCTGCGCGAACGTGGCACCTTCACGTTTCATACGCGGCGGTGCCAACTTATCTGTTTTCTTTTTGCACAAGTCCAACAATTGTTTAGTAGGTATGTGCGTAAGTAAAAAAAAAAATAAAAAAAAAAAAAAAAAAAAAAAAAAAAAAACGTTACGATATAATAACGACGTATAAGTAATTGAACGATGGGACAGCCATCAATTAAACGCATTTCACCGGGCCATCAGAAATCGATATCGACTCGGGTGGCCCCGACGGTCGCGTGTGCGCAAAAATTTCCGTTAATTCCCTACGTGAACAATGTATAATTACATAATATTGCGGGAAATAAATAATAATGCAAAAAAAATAAAAAATAAAACATATAAAATAATAATTAACCACGCGCGTACAAATACGTAATATAATTTATAAACGTTCGTAAACAAAATTAATGTTTGTGTTTATAAACGTTATATTTATTTTTATACGATAATAATAATAATAATATTATTATTATTATAACTGTTAATCAATAAAAGATTTTAAGTTTTTTTTTTTTTTTTTTATTTTGTTTACAACGGTATAAAATTAACAATATTAAATACACAAGTGCGAACGCGAGCGCTTAAACACTCTGTTTTAACGACGACGATTGATGTTCGATAAAGAATAAAAAGATTTTCTTTTCTCTCTCTCTCTCTCTCTTTAAGTACCAACACCTATATTATACGCTGACCCGTGACAGGTTACGGCCCGAGATAAACGTTATCTATTTATTTTTTTTTTTTACTATTTATAATATAAATATATATAGAATAATATAAACTCATTTGTGAATGCAATAATAAATTATTATACGATTATGGTTTACGACCACGACTCGATAATATTATTATAATTGATCGTGAACATTCAGTGGCGCGGCGAAGGCCACTTGTTATTATGCGTTCGAGCGGCGGCGCGCCCGGGAATTTTCAACCGGTGGGAGGGGGATCTACGGCATAAATAATAATTAATCGTGGCCCGTGAAAACAAACCACGTAGAATCTTCTTGTCTGTTATTATCGGTAGGTTTACGTACACGATATTATATTATAATTCGACCGAGAGAATTATTAATTAAAAGCCGGATCCGAATAAACCGATTTGCATTCAATAAATCGAGCTTTGTACCATGGCTACAATCAGAAAAAAAAAAAAAAAATGCACTCAATTGCGAGTACTCTTATATTGTTTTTGTATTTTTGATCCAATTTGTAAGCCCCCGCGTTACCTCCCCCTCCCCGGTTATAACCACTGACCTCCCCCGCCTGCTCGCGTCACTGTAATCGAATGACAGCAGCCTAAGAAATTGCTCGGGAAACGCCGTGTGGTTATCCACTTACTAGCAATAAGACTCAGTAGCTAAACGACATATTATTTTCTTTTTCAACCGGTCGAGAAATAACGTTCGGAGTCTACTATATATTTCAATGAAATCTAATTACGCTACCTCGCGTAATATTGAAAAAATAAAATTCATCATACAAATTCGAATAGTATCTACGTCCGCAACCAGATATCTATGGCTCCACTCAATAAATGACAACAAAGTTTTTTTCGTAATATTTTGGATCTAGTCGGTGTATTCAGGAAGTCGTTTTTCGGATTTCCTTTGTATTAATAATTGGTTAAATCCGTAAACAAAGGTATACGAAAAACGGACGAATTTACGGCGATAACGACTTAAATTACTTTAAATTTTGTTTTTTGATTGTAATTTGATTGAAAATGATCGTGGATATTTTCAATTTTTTACGGAATACTTATATTAGTCTTATCTAGGCGTGGTATAATTTTCTAAACGTCAGACGATTGTTGTTTAGAATTTTGAAAAAGTCATTGATTATTGGTCAGTTTATACCTATATCTCTTATCTAATGAATATTTTTTATAATAATAATATTGTTAATATTTATCACCATAATAGGAAAAATGCATAAATTATAAATAAGGTTATCGTACACTTTAAAAATATGTTATACACTCGATATTATTATTGTGTTTTGTGTACTCTCGAGTTTTAATGTTTTTCAAAGTTGTGAACTATAAAAGTCAGTTCTGAATCGCACGGTTCGTCGATTATAAATAAATAAAACAATTTTTACCCAACAAACGTGTCCGGAAAAACTTAATTTTTTTGCTATAATTAAGCTTCAATTAGGTAGGCAATTCAATGAAAATAACTCTACCGAATCTACGATTAAGTATTTATAGCAAAAAAAACTAAACTGTGTATTTACAATTATAATTTAACCGGGTTAGGAATCGAGTTTTTGGAGGCTAAGGAAAATAATTATATTAGTTCATACGACTTCGTAGATGAGTATTCGAAATACTTCGCGAATCTGTGCGATACGAAATTAAAATTTGAAAATTTTATGAAATTACATAAACACGAATTAATCGCTATAAAAAAATCACTGAAATTGTCCGAACAATATTAGATAATACAATATTTGATCGTGGAATAGTATCAAGAAAAAAAAGTAAACTGCAGCAAGCCGTGTAAACTATAACNAGATAATACAATATTTGATCGTGGAATAGTATCAAAAAAAAAAAGAAAAAAAAAAGTAAACTGCAGCAAGCCGTGTAAACTATAACTATAATGTCATAATGCTATGATATAGTCATCAAGTCGGACATTGAATCAAAAGTCGCGCTGAAAACGGCGAGTTTCAATTATTTCAATATAATTGAAAAAGTTATTCGATTAAATGTCTGAGGGGTGGAAAAGAAAGATATTTTTTTTTTCTTATGTTAATTATAAAGGAAATAAGCCGAGCGATGAATAAAAAACTGTATTTAAGTGTAATAATGAGCAGTAAAAAAAAGATTTCTTTTGCTTTCGCGGTGTGAAATGGACTGAATTTCCCTGTTTTTTTTTCGCTCCCCATTATCAAAGTCACTTAATCTTAAAAGCAGTAGTATTATTGCAATAATATTTTAATCAGACTTCTTTCGGACTGTAAACTACTCGAGACGGAGAGGGGGAAAAAATGGGGAGTGAAATATTTCGATGGCCAAAACAAGATACCCTGGTTATTATGTATAACTTGGGGTATGCTATATACATATTTTACATAAGAGGACTACGATACAGTCATCTCGTCGTTTGTATGTATGTGTATATAATATAAAAAAACGTTTTAATATATTCTATACAACTGAAATGCCTACTCGTATGTAATACAATTATTATAATATTTAGGTGACGTAGAACTGCGTTTCGGAAGAGGAAGACCAAGGATGGAATGTGTGAAACAAATCGTGATGGACAGGAGGAATAGTTATAAGAAGTTAAATGAATTTAGTCACAAAAGGAAAGCGTGATCATAATTTTCTAGCGATTCTTAAACATATATTCTATGCATGACGACCCAATATTTTATTTTTTTAGTGATCCTTAATAATTAGTTGGTGACCCCCGAAGGGATCGAGATCCCGAGGTTGGAAAATACTGGTGTACAGATTTAAATTAAATTTCTCTATTCGATAAACTTTCTTCTGGCTTCCCTCACGCCTAACAGTGGCATACCCACATTATCAGCAGCAGTATCAGTTTTTTTAATAAAATTTATTTGTTATCATTTATCATCGGTACATTTCAAAATCGATCTAGTAAATCTCTCGCTAATATATTACACATACATATTATATTATCATATCGGCGACATCGATTTTGATTCGGCAGTTACGTACTTATACGCGACGTCACGAACAAATTAATAATAATAATAATATGTTTAAGACACATACACACACACACACTATATATTTATACATATATATAGGTAAGTAGTATACTTTTATTATACTTGTTATAATAATATAGGTACCCCGTCACCGGATCAAAAGGTAACGCAAGAAAAACGGTTTTTTTTTTGCACCCCTCCTGCATACATTCGCTATAATATGCTTAATATACGGAAAAGTATAGTATAGGAAGAAAAATGTAAAGGAACGAGCGCGGAATTTTTCGAATTCCTCGCTACTGCGTTTTCCGCGTCCCGCGAGTGGAGTGAAAAACGGGCAAAAAAAAAAAAAATAAAGTAACGAGGTTTTTAAGCCAGTTGACTCGCGCGCACTCGTAACGTTTTATTGGCGGCGCGACAGGAACTGGGGGATAGAGGAAAAAAAAAAAACGTCGACAAAATGAAATTAAAAGTATATCTTATGCGTGTTCTCTAGTCATGTGCAGTCAACTGTATAGACCCTGCGAGTCGCGTATAAACGACCTCGTACATTTATTCATTTTTTTTTTTTGTAACTTTGAAAAGGAGACTGGGCCGGGGTGGAGAAGGATCTCGCCGTCGTCGTCGTCCGAGCAGGCGGAAAGGTTCTAGAGCGCGATAAGATTGTCGCGAGACGTGAAAAAAAAAAAAAAGCGAAAATTTAATTAAGCGACCCGTTTGTCGAAACGCGCGCCGCCGTGTTTAATTGCGTTTGACATATTTTACCGTGCGTTTGTTCGCACCTAAAACGGTTTTTATAAACTACTGACTGCTGCTGCTGCTGCTACTGCTTCTATAACAATACTACTGCTACTACTACTAAAACTGCTGCGATTCGGTATCCGCTGCGAGATTGCTTACCGCCGGCGTTTTATACTCGTATACCCCCTTTTCGAGATTTTATAACACTTACTTTTTGTCGTTTTGTTTTTGTGTACGGGCGATAATACGACGACGACGACGACGACGACGACGACTGCTGCTGCTGCTGCTGCTGCCGCCGGAGAAAACGGAATAAACGAGAAAGTATAATATTTGTTTTGTGTACACAAGAAGAGAGCGAAGAGATCTGAACACTTAAACGTTTACACGTATATATGTATAGAGTAATGTGTAAATGCAGTAAACTCAGGATGCCCGTATTATACGTTTGTGTGCGTTCGTATTTGTTTTGTCTAAGGTGACCTATACGCGATTTTGCCGGTTATTATTAAGTGATTTCGTGTTTACACTAATGGATAAACGACAAACGGATTTCGTTTTAGTATTTGTTTATTTATTTAATTTAATTTTTTTTTTTTTTTTACACAACATATACATCTGCGTGATGTTAATTTACCGATAAAAACGTTTACAAAAGAGGTTTGCTCGCGATATGGAAAAACCTCGTCGTCGTCGTCGTCGTCTTCGTTTTATACAAACACTGCGCTATAATACCGTAATAATATTCTCGGTGAACGTAATGTTGAATCGGTGATTCGCCTCCGGCGTTTGTTAAGTATTAATGCGAACAAAATTGAAACGAAAAATGTGATTCGCACTAAAACGATAATTCCGTATGGCGATACGTTGTGTTGCGAAAAAAACCAACCACGATTGCGACATTATTTTATCACAACATCTGAGTAACACGACGTCTAATAAAAACGTATCGACACCGTGTTAGTAGTACTCGTAAACCGAGCATTGCGACGAGCAGAATAGGGTTAGTGTCGCAGACGTCGTATGACCTCCGTTGAGCACATCCGTGCTTGTAGATTCTCTATAAACTTCTTCATTTTGATGTCGCCGATATTTTTATAAAACGCGTTTTTCGTGTTTGGTGGTTTTGTAATGAATCCGAAAGATGAGTAACTTGACGGGTTACGAACCGCGTGAAATGTTGCATTTTCCGAAATGCGAAAAAATCATCACAAACCTCCAAAAAGCTCGTCAAGTTTCTCTTCATTTGGATTCGTTACAAAATCGCTAAGCACGAAAACATATTTCACAAAAATATCGGTGACATCAAAACTAAGAAGTTTATAGAGAATCTATAAATGATACCAATCCTACTGTTTTTCAATGCTCAATTTACGAATAGTATAATCAGTCTCAAAACTTTTTGATTAAACTTCGTAGGTATATTGTACAATATCTTCGGTCCCGGGGAAAAAAGGCCCGAGTAATTAGCTAGTTTTTTTTTTTTTTTTTTTTTTTATATTTTATATTTTGTAATTTCGTCCAATTATATTTTAGTCTAAAACCCGGTTTACACGCATCCGAGTAGCCAAATTCGTGGCCCAGGTATTCGTGCCTCTATCGGATATGAACAGCCTACGAAAATGTTTACATTACACAATTTATATTTTACCGAACTCTAAAAAAATCGAATACAGTGATAAATGTCAGGCCTCAACTATCATTACATTTTCATTTTTTTCGTTTCATTTACATTACAGCTTTTCGTACAAAAATATCGATACTCCGTGTCAACATTTTCTTGATTAAGCGGATCGGATGAGAAGATGAGTTGGCTTGTACGGGTAGTCTGCACGTACGTGGTTTATAATATTATTACTTTTTAGAATTGCATCCATGTCGCGACAAACTCGTTAACCTCGGACGTAGTTACTCAGATAGATATGAACTATCTATAACGGAATCTATAGTTACGAGTTGAAGATAGAAATAATTCGGTAAATGTATACAGTCGTTTCTACAATATTCAATGCTGTTCTTTTCCATTCGCTTTGTAACTCAAATTAAGAGCCTTCGCGACTGCTATACGAAATTCCTACACGGTTCTCTATCTCTAGTGTCTTTAGTTTGTTACAACTAATTATTGCACGCCCTCATATACTTTATATTTTCCACCCTCCTCAAGTCTGCCTCTATCGGTCTCATTCCATTTGGATTTCAATATTAATCCATTGAATTTATTCTTTATGCGTATTCACTTTGCGTCGCATTTAGTTCTTAGGCTTTTAACGTATAGTTTGAAAACCACGGCGCCGCCGGTTCTTCTCTCAGTGTCTTATCATATTACATCTTTTGTACTCTATTTGTCTCTGTTTCCGTATTGATCGCGTACTCTCCTCGATATTTTGTTTTCGAACTGAGACTATTATTTTGTATTAGTTCCCTAGTTAACCTAACGCATTTGCCCGGCCCTGATTTGCCTGATTTGCATGCGGTGTATGAGCACAGGGCCTTCAAACTCTCTAAAGCCCTTTTTCACTCTATAGCAATAAAAATAGTATATTTAAAAAATATATTTTGGTAAAAATGCGCGATTGAATATTTGACAAACAATTATTATTGGACAAAATGTGAACATATTTTTTTATTTTATTATTTTCTTATGTAGGTGCCTTATCATTTTTGCGCTTTTCATGATCAAACGCGTTTTTCTTAAACACGAGAAATATTCTGTTATTCATCACTAACGGCAATCAATCGCGATGTTATAAACCAATTAACGGTTGAAGACTGAAAAAATGATTTTAAAATTAAAATTTTTTAGTGATTTACAAAAATTAACCCCGTATTCAGTATAGACTACCCCCGCCTTTTATAATTTAGTTTTTGGTTTTTTTTTTTTTTTTTTTTTACCCATCTGTATTTATTTAAAAAGGACGTAGAACGGAAATACGCCTCGTAGTTATATTTCTCTTCAAATCAGTCCCCGAAAGCCGGACCATAACAATATTATATACAATACGGCAGCGGATATAGTGTACAGTATATAACTCACTGTGTAGCATAGGTAGTGCCGACAGACGTACACAGAGTATATAGTGTTATATTATTGTTGAAACGTGATTATCGGACTCTATCGAGGGTCGTCGTCACCGAACGATGTCCGAGGACTACAGAAACGAACGCGTACTCGAATAATATGAATTGTCGTCGTCGTCGTCGTTCGATAGAGGTGTTGACACGTGGATAACATAATATTATGTGTGCGTGTGTACAAAAGCTGATACGGCCGGCTTTCATGCCACAAAAGTCGCGGGCCGGACGACCTTTGTCGTGCAGTCACCACGCACACGTGCGGTCAAGCGCCTAAATCACACAAACTCGCGCGCTCTCCGGAGAGAGAGAGAGACAGTGAGAGAGAGAGAGAGAGTGAGAGAGAATGAGAGAGTGAGACAGGGGACATTTGCGGAATGCCAAACAGCCCGGTCCGCGGCGGTTAAAAAACACGGACCGTCCCGAAAGAGCTCGTCCGCGTTAAATCCTATATTATAACGTACGTGTGTGCGTATATATATATACCGGGTGTACGACAGAAAACGTATCCCGACGATAAATCATTTTTTTTATTTTATTTTTTTTTTTTCGTGATTACGCCGCCGCCGTCCGTTTCCTCGGGACGTTATTTTTTCGTCTTGTTTATATATTTATTTTTTTCATTTTTTTTTTTTGCGCAGTATTCTCGTCTCCACTCGCCTTTCCGCGTCGGCGATAATCCCGCGCCGCACAAACGCGTGGAAAGAAAAATACGAAAAAAGACCCCCAACAGGACCCGAGGATATTTTGCGACGCGCACACGCAAACGATAATACGAGATTCCGAAATTGGCGGGCGCCGACCGAATCTGACGACGGCCGGTTTTCGCCTGTAAATGCGTAACGCTTCCGGGGTACATCACTGATATGTGTACGAGTACACGTAAATTGTATACGTGAACGTAATCCCAGATTAAGAGGGGGTTTCAGGGAAGGCCAGATCCCCAGGGCCACCAGACTCCCCGGGCCTCGATTTTTTCCGTATCCAGAGTACGTATATGTATACAGTAAAAACCACTGGTAATTTTTTTAAAAATAATATAAATATTTATTTAAACAATACTTGTGACTTTTGAATTGAGATCCATGCTATACGGTGTCTATACTATTTATTATTTTCCTTCCGTCAAAACATGTTAATTATAGTAAATATTTTACAAAAAAAATGATCAGCCTTTCAACGAGAGCCGTGTTGAACGATTTGGCCCCGGAGCCTCTAAATGTCTTAATTCGGACTTGTGTGTACAAATACTCGAACTGTAAACGGCCCACTCGAAAATTCAATAATGAATATTTATAATCGGGAGGAGCAGACGGTTATGCTGGTATCGGATTTCGCGTAAGTCGTAAAAAAGAAGCTGCCTCCCAAAAATTGCCTAAACATTTCGGAAACTACTAAGCGCGGCATTTTGGAAAAATATGCGTTCGCGGTGAAAATGTTCCGGTCTTTGCACGAATTACGACAGATCCCAGAAGCCTCTCAGAAAATGATTATCTAAACAATTAGCTAAAAAACGTAATTATTTAACGTAAAAATTATTTAAGCCTACAGCGTTATCAACGTTGACGTTGTGCGACTATTTTGTTGTTTTTCGTACTTTGAGCGTTATAAATTGAAATCAAATATTTTTCGACCGACGGTCGAAATCCAGTATAATATTATTATTGTGATGACAGAGTACAACGGTTATCTGCAGCAGTTTAAATATTTACGCGCGAACACATTTCGCGACCGTGAGACCTCTTGCTTTTTTCTTTGTTCATTATGGACTTTTCGGATTAAAAAGGAAAACGTTTACATAATATTGTATCGGACTGCGCCGGAACACGTAATTTTATAATACACTATTACGTCGAAAATACAATAAAAAAATTACCCCCGAAAAATGTGTATTTATCCGTCGTCGGTAAAGAATTTTTTTTAAGCGCGTATACGTAATTCATGCGAACAGGGTGTGCCAGATAGTGGCTCGCGTAGAATAGGGGAGGTCGGGGGTTGTATTCCTCTCCACCATTGGCTTGAAAATACAAACAAATATTAGTCGTCTAATATCAAAATGCCAATCAATTTCTAACAAGTTACGCGAAGAATAGTTTGATGTATTAATTAGAAATTGGCATTTTTTGGTCTAGTCGGGTAGCGAAGACGACTTAACGATTTATTCGCGATTCTCAATCGCTACGTCCGCTATCGTTGAAAATTCCCGGGCATGCCACTGGCCTGTCAGGCTTGCCGCGGCACAGCCCGTGACCCGTGGTAGACTGAAAAAGTAATCTAAAATCTAATCTGTGCTTTATTCAATAAAACGCTAACCCGCGAGATATAAACAATCGTCATAAGGAATAACCCGCAACAAATCAAAACAACCAGCAACCACCAACATACTGTGATAATATTATACTCCTCATCGCCACCTTAGGTTAGGTTCGTTAGCAATGATATTATGTTTTTTTTTTTTTTTGTCACGCGCAATCATTTTTTTTTTTATGATGGTTATCTATATGCTGAGATTTTTTTCGGGGGTGACACCCAAAACGCCACACCCCGCCAGTCACATCGCCGCCACTGATCTTGCCCGTGGCCGCGCGCGCACCGATATTCGCGAACCCGCTGCAGGCCGGACCCGCGCGGCCTTTTTAGCCGTACAAAAACCGTTGCGGTTACGGCGCCGCGGCGTTTGTAAAAAGGTTTGTAAAAACGATGAAAGATGACCTCGTAGTTGTCGTCGTCGGTCGCGGTAATTGATGCGTTTCGACCCGGACGCGGTAATGTAATAATTTGTCACCGCCGCCGCCGGTCAGACCGCGCGCCAAGGACCATTAATCAAGAATGTCGGTCCGACGGCCGGGAGGGAGGGGTGATGGCGTGAAGGAGCGGGCGGAGACGGACCGGGAAATCCTGGCAACAGGACAACGCGCCCGGCGACGTTAATCGCGCGCGAATAATTAAAATCATAACGACAATAAAACACCCGGCGAGGTAAGGACGAGGGGAGGGAAAACACTGTCTGCGGGCCGTCCAGTTTTTAACGACCCTTATAAACACCGTCGCTATTCGAACCCTACTTCGCTCCTTGCCCCCTTTTCCTTTTTGAATAATTCGCTGTTGTCAAACAAATCGCAAGCCGCCGCGGCGGTTAACCGACAATGTTATTATTTACAATGTGTTCGAAACGCGCCGAGAAATCCGCCGGAAATTCCGACGACAATGATGCGCGACCTTTGCGCGTCCGGAATACCTTTCGGGCCGGATATTATAAAATAAAAAAAAAAAAAATAATAACGAAAAAAAAACAAAAGGACATAGTTCGCGCGACGGTTAGGCCTCACAGTTGTAGGTGAAAAGTCGGAAAGGTATAGAGGGGAATTTACGTCCGTACACAACGACATAAACAATCGCTAACGAAAAACGGTTCGGAGGCGAAGTATCTTAATTATACGTATACATGTGTGTACATTTTTCCGTTTTGTTTTTTTTTTTTTTTTAGATTCTTAGTGGAGCGACGAATATATTGATTTTACAATGATGTTTATTATTTATTCGTTTTTTCTGTGGACATTTTTTCTACCAGCAATTTTGCTCCGATTTAAAAGTGTAGCACTGCATTTCTGAAGAGAAATAGGACTGGAAAAGTATTTTCAAGAGGACATTTTTTGATTTTACCCAATACATGAAATAATGGGAAAAAAATGAAAAAAACCGGGAAAATGTACGAAATTTAGATATTATAGTTAAAAAATATTACGGCCCTTTATTACGTTTTTTTTCCAATCAATATGAAAACCGCTCGGAAAATCAAACAAAAAACTTTCTCTTTAAACTACCAGCCAGACGGAATTTCTTTCCAGAAAAGATACTGCACCTGAAAATCGGAGCGAGATTTCTGATAGAAAAGTGAAATCGAATTAGAAAAAAACCATAATAATAAATATCATTGTAAAACCGATAGATTTCTCGGTACGCTCCGAATTTAAAAATAAAAAAAGATTCCGTTATATTTAGAACATTTTTTTTAAAAAAATCAAACGATTTCGTTGACACGCGATTGTTATTATGTATACAATTCATCGGGATTCGAATTATCGGGTCCCGACCTTGTTTTATTATATTGATGTTATCGTGACACTTTTTTTTTTTATTGGTTTTTTGTCCTGTGTTTTCTTGAGATCTGCGGATAAACAAAACGTTCACGTTCGTATACGTAAAAACGCGGAAACAATTAGAAATTCGTTTCAAGTTCCAGTATACAATATTCTAATGTAATACTGCTGTTCATAACGAGTATACTGAATCTGCACGAATCTAAAACGTATCGTAGTACTATTATACTACACGGAGATAATATGTATGTTTTTTTATGCGCGTAACAGAGTCAAAAAAAAAAAAAAAAATCATTAATAATATTCTAAAAACGTAACGTTTTTTTTTTTCCGTTTAGTTTATTGTTTTACATCGCGTATAAAATATACGACCTAACTTTAAAAAAAAATATATATAAATTTTTTGGTTTTTTATTTGCGACTCTTGAACAATAGTGCGGTAAAAACTAAAAATACAAACCGAAAACCTACCGCGCCGCAGTTTTAACTTTGTATCGCGTATTTTGTCCGCGTACGCGTAACATTACAACAAACTTGGCGCGGTTTTCCATTCGAAATGTTTTTTATATTTTTAAAATTTGATATCGTATAATAACAATAATGAATCGACTAAAAATGAAATAACGTTACGCGTGAATATTTCAAACGTTTCGAAAAATTCGATTATCGAACGGATTTCACGTTTTCCTTTACCGGTTTCTGCATCATGGCATCTGAAGATCGCAGTGGCGCATAGTTACGATTTTGTACTGCAGGGCGACGGATAATTTGCTATAAGTAAACGTCGTATAAGAGCCACCCCATACCCTTCCCTCTTTTCCACCATACAGATCTATATGTATTAAATTCACGATGTACCCACCGTCAAATCTATTACTGGTTTTGACTAAGATGTGTTTTTTTTTCCTTTTAAAAACAACTCTTTTGGTAAGCATAAAAAATTCGATTTTTCCATGCCGTAAATTTGATACGCGAACTCTTCTCCCGACGGTACGTATCATCAAATATTTTCCCGTCTTGTTCTGCAGCGGTTTTTTTTTTTTTTTTTAGAGGTGTTTTTCCGCGCTGCTTTATGTTATATATTAGTTAATTGAGATTCCGCGTCCCGTTTGTTGTAATCCTCTCTTTGTAATATTTTGTTCTTGCATTAAAGGAGAATGTTTCGATGTACCGGATATTTTTAGTATGCGCCTTTTGAAGTACATGCTTCTGCATAGCTTCCGCCTTCTCTACCGTCTGCAATCTCCACCGTCCTCAGCGTATGTAAACCCGTATCCAGCCTTATGTTTTCATTTTATTGCGATATTATTATAGCAATATGGTTAATATGGTTATTATACGAGCAATATACACCGTTATCCGTCGCTGTCACTTTTTTTTTCTTTTAATTACAACGCTATTTTTCGTTATCTTTTTTCGGTGTTCGGGTTGTTGCAGAAAAATAATTGAATAATAATTTGTTATTATTATTATTATTATTATTATTTTTTTTTTTTTTTGAGGAACGATTCGATGTATAAAAAAAACCTTAACAAAGGGCGCGATTGAAACACGAGCACTCGGAACAATACGCGTACGTTACGGCGATTGAAACACATTTAATTGACATCGTGCACGTCGCTACAAACAGGTATATTATAACACAATGGCACGGGACATTACAAAAATAATGATAATAATAATAATAATAATAGAGGGGATGGTGAACACCAAAATTAGCAACCCTAAAAGTACCCGATAAGTTTTTTTTTAATAGTATCGACTTATTATGTTTTTATCCGAGTATTTCATGGTTAATAAGCAAAACGAAATACGGATTACCTACAGACAAATAGCACGTATGCGTGTGTGTGTTTGAAAAATAAAGCCACGACACATTTTCGTGTGTCATTTACGAGTGTCGTGTAAAGCAATGTTTCTCAACTTAATTTACTCACGGAACCTTTTCGGGAACTTGTATATTTGGCGGAACCTCCATTTTTTTTTTTTTCGCAACCACAAACCGGAGACATATTTTTTGGATACTCATATGAGTGGGCAGTCTAAACTTCCGCAAAATGTTTGTAGCTAATCACTTTCCATGGCATTCTTGAACTCCTCAATTTTAATTATAACAAATAATCAAATCGAAAATGTTGTTTAATAATTTATTTTTTCCCAAAATCCTCAAAGCGCCCTTGGTGGTTCACGGAACCTTTGGTTTCCGCGGAGCACCAGTAGGGAAACACCGGTGTAAAGGACCGGATTGCAGGGGACATTGTCCTCCCGTGGGTCTGCGGTTGCGTCTGTGATTTTAGCACCTCTAAAATCGACGATCTAGTGGCGCTTATACGCAACAACGTAATGTACGCACTTAACCGCGTATGCACGTATTTTACCATGGTACGCACGTATGACTACGTATCAGATTGGTATGTATATTCTATTATTTTGTTCGTCACGCGTAGGCTTTTCTCTCGTCTTGTTCCCCGTCTCATCGCGCGCGGCGATCTCTTTTCTTTTTTTCCGTCGGATATAGAAGCGGCGAAAAAAGGCCTAAAAATCAAATTATACGTAACCGAGGCCGGCGGGTTTCGTGGATATATTTAATATCGCGGGAGCAAAACATTGCGCGCATAATGTGTATACGTATATTATCCGAATCCGAAGGGGGATCGCTGCTGAGCCCGCGGGCTCCGCGTCCTATATAAACACGCCAGTTTATGTTGCGTATATTATTATTATTATTATTAAAATATGTGTTCGCCGCGTTCTGTGACAAGTGTACTCGCGACTGTTTTTTTTTATCAAGACGGCTTTTCGGCGCGATTTAGCATTGTGTCGGCGCACACCCCGTGTGTACCGCGGTCCGTAATATAGCTGACGGGATATTATTGTATGCGCGATCCCTCGGTACGGGTCGCGAACCAAAAACACGTCATCACCCAGGCGCGTGTATAAGGGGGGAGTAGATGTTCAAACCCTCTTCGAAATTTCATGAAAATTATGATTGAAAGTAGATTTTTAATAATGTGGTCTGCGCAGTCAATGAGGAAGATTTATACAGTTTTGGTTTTATTTTTATTTTATTACTAATAATAGTATTATATTGTTAGTGTTGACATTTTTAATGTTTTGTAGTTTTCCTGCTTTTAGAAAATTTTATCTGACACGGCGATATTGCATAGTCCACGTTATCATCACTTAGGTTGAATTCATTAAAAGATATATTAAATGTAAAATATATAATACCTATAGAATGTATTGGGTGTAGGCGTC